CGAAGGATTCTTTGCAGTTGATAATTAAGTTAGCAAAAACTAACCCAGTGTTTTTTAAGATGCAATTAGAGAAAGTATTGCGTTTGATGTTGAAGACCACAGTTGATGATAGTTTAGAGGTACACATTAGACATTTGGTAATTGGATTCCTAATGGCATTGGTGGAGAAGGCTCTAAGAATGATAAGCAAGGAGCCACGATTTATAAAAAAGTTGTTTGATGAGTTCATGTATATGTTATTTGATGTTGAGAATGTGGATGAGGATGAGTATAGGGTTGACAATTTTTAGGGGACGAGTGATTATATACTAGCTAAAAAAATATTTGAGTAAGTTGTCTGTTTTGTTAGGTGAAAAGACGATCTTTCAGTGGGTTATACACTTGTTTTCACATTTGTTGGGTACTTCCATATGGCAACAGTGGCATGCTACTCTCATTGCTATTCCAAAAATTTCTGAGGGCTATTTTGAGGTTTGAAGTTACATTTGTAATTGATTTGATCATATTTAATGTTCTATATCAGTTTATTGGAGATCAGCAATTTATTTCGCTTGTTATTATCGTAGAGTTCATGGTATAATGTTGCTCTAATTTAATTAAATTAAGACCTTGCTTCATTTGTTAATTATTATTGGTTGGATGAAAAAGTTTATTTTGATAAGATTTGCTAACATGTTTTATTCACTTCAAAGGTTTGAAATTGCAATAATTAATTTGATTAGATTTGATACATATATACAATTTATATATATATATATATATATTGTTTATTCTAGATGAGCATTTATGCATTTCTTGTATTTGATGTAAAATAGTTCCTCTGTTGTTAATCTAATAAAGAATTCCTTTAGACATGCTTATTGGTTTGGAGGCAGAGCTAATTATGAGAAGATTGATGTTTCATTTACTTCCAAATAAGTTTCGCTTATGTTTTTACCTTGTTTGTGCAGATGATGCTAGAAAATTTGGAAGAGGTAGTGCCAATGGTTTTGGAGTAAGTAAATGATTCCCATCCTTGGGTTCAATTGGCAGCTATTAATGCTATTAAATAGTTGTTTGTGGCCTTATGTCCGAAGTTCCAATACTGATATCATGAGATAGTTGTAATCACATTAGTTGAAGTCATGAATAATGACCTAAGTCCTAAACTATAGGTTTGTGCTCCCATTAGCATTTGATAAGCTTTTACCATTGTTACTATTGAGTTTCCTCTCTATTATTTTGTTTACTGTTAATTTGTTGCATTTCTATATTTCTATATGGTTATCAACTTTCTACTATGGGGAAAATGCTTGGTTGTTATATTTTATTGTATTTGTCTTCTTTATGTTATTGCATATGCATTCAATGATAGTTAGACGTTAGCTTTTCATACTTACCAATTATTAATTTTTCATTCACACCAATTAGTTGATGCTATTTGTTTTCTAACACTCATGTAATTTGCAAATACATAATCAAGATATTATGCAATAACATTTGGATTTTCGTAAAATTGTTCATGCAATCTTTAAATATTTGATCCTTTCCTTGGGTTAGGATTTAGGATTCAGCCAGTTAGGGATATTAGATGGAACACTTGAAAATAGACAAAGGAAGAGAAATATTGTTGTTTACATGTTAATGTGATGTGGTGTAAGAGATGTAGATGGTGAGAATTACTAAGAGAATAATTATCATTACAGGCACTGGTTATTTTACATACATATAAGGCAAAATTAAAGTGAATTTTCTTATAGATTCGAGTTATGTTCTCGATTGTGCTATCCTAGAATGAATAGTGATAAAGTGTATTCACTTCTGACACCATAAGTTAATTATGGGAGTCTCCAACAACTATCCAAGACCAGTAAACATGCCTTACTAGTTAAATACTTGTTTCTATTTTGGTTTTTTCTTCTTTTCATTTTCTAATCAAAATTGTTTAGGATAAGTTAAGCATTGAAATAACCAAATTGGTGAATGTATTAGTTACAGATCTAATAATATAGTATGTAAAAAAAAGTTTAAACAATGTCATAGAAAATATACTACTGAAGTTTGAAGTGTTTACTCACCTATTCCTCCCTTTGCCAACATGAAGAAGAATCAAAATTTCAATTTTTAAGGTCTTTATTGAAGCACAATGTTTGGTAAATGTTCTTCATAAGTAATTATGTGTTCTAGAAGCAATAGCATGGTATCTTATAGTGATTCATCATTTTTATCTTATTTCTTCATTTAGTTGTTTGTAAACAGTATTTTTGTAGTCATGTTTATTGTTTCTATGACATAGGCCCCTGCTACTTAAGCGATCTTCAGTTTCATCAGAAATGGCAGTGAACAAATCCTAGATTTTTATGAGGAGACGATGTGATCCAAATTCCTTAAATTCGTTAGGGTATATAATCTCTTACTCAATATGGCATTTGTTTCTGAGAAATTATTTTGTTCCTGAGTTATGGAAGAAAATTTTAAATTAGGGCATAAGATGCAACTATCATCAAATTTATACTTGAAACATGAGTTGTCCTTTGCACTATAGACTATACCTTTGTTTTCTTAATCTAATTACTAGCATTCTTTCTCTTTTTAACTACTCATCTTCAGTTTTATAGCTTTGATTGTTTACTTAGCAGAGAACTTATTTGATTAATATCTGAGTTGGATTTTTTTTTGCTTATTTTTTGTTCTTGCATCGTCATCTCATAAGTTGCCTCCAAATCACACTGCAAGCTCATTACGCCGATAGTGATATGGAGACATTGATGTTGTCATGGACTGCCGATGAGCTCTTTGAAGATCTTGAAAGAAGTATAGTAAAACGGCTTGAAACAATGGTAGAAGAGCAGACATTCGATTTATTTTCCTCACGAGGGTATGAAAATGTGATTAATGATGTTAAAAGTTTGCTCAAAGTGGTTCGAGGTTAAATGTAATAAGTTGAAAAATAACTTAGAAGAAAGTATTATGTATTGGGAATTTAGTTATTGACTACATCAATTTAATGTAGATTTGATAATTTATACATTTTATATTATGTTTATGTTGTATCAAATATAAAAAATTATTATGTCAAATTATTATATCAACATATAAAATATAAAATATATTTTTACTAAATATTTATAATTTTACTAAAATTTAAAGTTTGTTGTTTTTTAGTGTTTTTTTTTTCTTAATTCTCGGTGTCAAGTGTTTAAAATTATCAAGAATTTTTTTATTAGCAAATTTGTAGGATGAATTTAATGTACATTAATTCAAACTGGAAGGTGAAGATAATGTTCTTCAAACATTATATTTAAAAAAACACCATTTCACCGTTTTTATCCAACAATTAATTAATTAATTTAAGGCTTTGTCGAATCATTTCAATTTACTAAATTGCTATTTGGGTTAATAAATTAAGTACTATAGTATTTGCAAATGCACACAAATTAATATAATTAATTTTAGTTAATAATGAGTTACGGTGAACTAGTGAATAAAAAATAATAAAATTTTATGATCCGTTAGTAAGATGTTTCACCCATACTTGAAAACTTTAAACATTATAAGAAAATAAAATCTCTTTAACTGCAATGAGTTATAATTGACAGTGTAAAATTTAATTTGTTTAAATAATTATATAATATAATATAATTTAATTTTGGTTCTCTCACATAGTCATGCTTCTTACCTATCAAAATTTCATCGTGGATTCAAATTAGATTTTATCATCAGTATCTTTTTTTTAAATTAATTAAAAAATTATTTATAATATTATAATATTATTGTATTAAATGCGATATTTAACTGTTAAGGGATAGAATTTTACACTAATAATTTATAGTAACAATAAAAATTATCATAAGTTAATGCTCAACTTTAAGGACAGAAGTTTTCAAGGTTGAATAAAAGGCTAAAACTTTTGAAGAGAGAAACTTTTGAAGATTGAGATGGATAAAAAATAATAAAAAAAAAAAAAAAGAGAGGAAGAGGGAATCAACCGCCCACTCCATGCAAACTTGTAATTTTAAAAATTATCTCAAGATAATCATTAGCAAAATCCTCTTTTATTTGGTATTATTAGACATTAGATTTGAAAAAATCTTTAGTCAATAATTTGATAAAATGTTAATTTCAATTCTAAACAATCTCAAATACATAAATATAAGTAAATAGTTGATTAATTAATTTATTTTTGACCTCTTAAAAAACTATTCACAAGTCAAGATAGCTATTTTTCTATAAAAATTTTTACATGAAATTAGTGAATTTCAATATTAAAAATGATTTAATAATACTTTTAATCTAAAATCTTTTAATCTATGAATTTTAATTTTAGATTAAAATTTTTAATGAATCATTTTTAATATCAAACTTCACAAATTGCAAATAAAAATTTCATTAAGTCTTGTCTCTCTTTATAATGGGAAAAAATAAAGTAATGTTCTCGTCTAATTAAGTTTATTTATTTGATGAATAAACGGGATTAGCAATTACATATATAAAAAAATAAAAAAATAAAAAACTCATTAAAAATTTTTTAACAACAACTTGGACTTTATTTATCGGTCCTTATGTTTTCTTTTTATTTAAATATTGTTTTTCTTAAATGGAAAACTTTTATTTCCAATTACATACCTCTCAGTTTGTAGCAAAAAATTTAATCACCTACCAAATAGAAAATTGGGAAATCTTTACTTTCTAGTTGCTTCTGTTATTTTTCTGGGAAATTTTGACTTGCATTATATTACATCATGGCACAAAGCAGAAGCTTTATTAGACATTGAAAGGCGCCACATCTTATAGGACAGAAACTATAGGTTCTCACAACTACACTTAAACCAACGCACGTTCAGAGCAAAGATATACAAAGGTAGACAAATTCAAGACATGAAGTACACATGCACAAATTTACAACAATAAGAATAGAGGATGAACTGAAATGAGTTGAAGAACATGATGGACCATTAGCTGCTGTTTTCATGAAATATAGATCTAGTGATCTTCTGGTTCTTCTTCATCTTCCACACCTTCTACGCCAACTTCCTCATAGTCTTTCTCGAGAGCAGCAAGATCTTCACAGGCTTATGAGAATTCACTTTCCTCCATTCCTTCACCTACATACCAGTGAACAAATGCTCTCTTGGCATACGGGAGAAAACCTCTGCCAATCATACACAGTGGGTGGCTGATCATACATGCTGCACGTTGTACCTTGGCGAGATCACCCACTGGTACCACAGTGGGTAGCTGATAGTTGATACCACACTTGAAACCAGTAGGGCACCTGAAATAAAAGATGCATGACAATCATTCAGATAACAAACAGAAGGCAAAATCAATGTTTTCCCCTGGGCGAACTCTATGTAATAATGATAATCATATTGCTTATACATAATTATTTGGAAATGAAATGTAAAAGATGTCTACTAACCAATATACTAACTGAACAGTCTGCTTAGTTTTGATGGTAGCAGCAGCAGCATTGACATCCTTAGGTACAACATCTCCACAGTACATTAAACAGGATGCCATGTACTTCCCAGGCCTTGGATCACATTTAGCCATCATGCTTGATGGTTCAAAAACAGCACTTGTAATCTTAGCCTTTGTAGCTGAGATTACTGGGGCATATGATGAGAGCATAGGATGGATACAAGGATACGGCACAAGGTTAGTCTGAAACTCTGCAATGTCCAAACTCTGTGATGTCCATGTTTATGGCACCATCAAACCTCAATGAAGTGGTCAAAGAAGAGATAATTTGGGATATCAAGCGGTTCAAGTTTCAATAAGTTGGTCTTTCAATCTCTCAAGGATCTCCTACAGATATCCTATATAGCTTCATTGTCAAGAAGCACAGCAACATCATCATGTTCAAGGAGAGAATGAGTTGAGAGCATGCTATTATTACGTTCCACAACAGCAGTAGAAACCTGCACAATTGGGGATAATTGTTCAGTGAATTGCACACACATAATAGTTCAAGCATAGGGAAAAAGAAACCCGTAATTTTCCTTGAAGTCTTCAAGAAATTACCTGACGAGAAGGGTAGATGGAGAAGCCAAGTTTTGACTTCTTTCCATAATCTACAGACAAGTGCTCCAAAAGCAACGAGCCCAAACCAAAACCGGTTCCACCGCCGACAGCATTAAATTCAAAAGATCCTTGAAACCAGTGCAGTTATCAGCCAATTTTCTCACTTGGTCAAGGCAAAGATCCACAATTGCCCGACCAACTGCAGTTACAACACCAAAGAAGTTTAAGCCAGTGATCAAAACTAACAAAATTGCTAGTACTTTGGAAATGCAGAAAAGATGCTTGTACCTGTATAATGTCCTCTAGCAAAGTTATTAGCAGCTTCTTCCTTGCCAGAAATAAGTTGCTCCAGGTGAAAGATTTGTCCGTAAGTCCCTCCTCCAACTTCATCAATGACAGTGGACTCTAGATCAACAAATATAGCTCTTGGCACATGCTTGCCAGACCCAGTCTCATTAAAGAAGGTATTAAAATCATCGTGGCAAACACCTAAGGTGGTGTCACTGCAAGCAAACACAAATGATTTTATAGGTTCAGATCATGAAATGATAGAGGGAAAACCATAATTCAGTGATCCAATTATAAATCCCATTCAATGTTTATGTCCACTTTGATCCGAAATTTATATTAAGAAAAATAAGTAGTTTCTGGCATGCATTTGTTGCTATTAAAGTTGTACTATACGTCTGAGTATGATAAGCAAAGAGTAAGGCAAGTAACACAAAAGAAATGACACCAACCAAAAAGAGAAAAATGCAGGGCAAGAATTTTAATCAAATTTTTCAAAGTCCCATACTAGGAACAATAAAGTAGAGGAAAAATTGAGAGGAAAATTATAAGAACATAACTACATAAATTTATATCATTAGGAGAATAAAGGAAAACAGAGATGCATTATATTAGAATCATTTCAACTCATAATAGATCCAGGGAAATTTTTTGAATTTCAGTACATACAATTCAACAATGTGATCCTATCACAGTAAGATGCTCAGTTAGAGCAGACGAGGCAGCTAGCCATGTCAGTTCCCCAAATGGTGGAATATTAACAGAAATCCTGCACCAACACAGGAGATAGCTCTGGTGACTTCGCCATCTGAGCATAGGAAATGCATGTCAAATGGAAATTTATGCTAAAAAAAAAGAATTATTTAAATTCTATACCATTCACTTCAATTCAAACCAAATACCTCATTTCCATGAAACAAAACTAACAACAAAAAACTTTCTAATGCTTCCAGTTCCAAAGAAACACCACCAGCAAAAGACAATATAATTATAAAGCAGGATGAACGAGCATTGACATTTGTTCTGCAAAGGAGAATATTATACATTTTGCAAGGTTATCAAAACTGAATGAATGGTAAACCATTAATAGAGCCCAACACTGCTATGCCTATAGGTGCCCCAGAAGAAAAAAAAAAAAAAAAGAAGAGGAAAACAGAAGAAAAAAGAGTACCTGCAGGCCGAAAAATTCAAAATCAGCCCTCTTCCTGAATTTAATAGGATACTTGCATGTTGCCTAATGCCTAATCAAAGAGTAAAATACTGCCTTCTATGAAGTTCATATGATGGAATTAGGGACTGCTTAGATATTTCTTAGCAACACCTACAGATTCTAAAACTTGTTTGGATTTATTGCACCAATATTGGCTGGGAAGAAATCACTCCATATTAGAACTTTGATAGTCTTCAAAGTTTCTGAACTACTGCACGAATATATTCACCCGTTGAATCACTAGACATTAGATCCACTAGCCAGGCTGCTACAGACGCATTTGCAGAAAATCCTTTGTTAACCATTTCATGAAGAATTTGTACTCCCCTTGATGTGTCATTGTTTCGAAGAAATCCTGTAATCATCACATTATAACAGCAACTATCCGGCATGCAACCATCCAATTCCATTTTACTAAACAGTTCATATGCTTCATTCTGCAGCCCTTCTTTACAAAGTCCTCTGATCATTATACTATATGTGTAAACATTAGGGTGTATCCCTTTGACTTTGAGTGCACAAAATAATTTCCTTGCAACTTTAAGTTGCCCAACTTGACACAAGCCATCAATTAAGATAGAATAGTGGACAATATTAGGTTCTAACCCACTATTCTGCATTACATGAAAAAGTCCCAATGCCTCATGAAAATGACCACGCTTGCATAAGCCATCCAACAAAGTAGAGTAAGTGATCACGTCTGGAACTAGATCACGAGCACTCATTTCTTTGAAAAGTTCTTGTGCAGCTGCAAGTCTCCCAACCTGTGACATGCCACCTATAAGAGTGCTGTAAGTAACAACATCAGGGATTAATCCATTTCGAGTCATTTCATGAAAGAGTTCCATTGCCTCATCAATCCTTTTAGCTTTACAATATCCATTGATAATGATGCTGTAAGTAAATACATCAGGTACACAACCCTTGTTAGTTATTGAATTGAATAATTTTCTAGCTGCATCCATTTCACCTTGCAAACAGTATCCATCAAGCAATGAATTATAAGTAACTATATCAGGCTCAACTCCTTGTTGAATCATTCTTTCAAAAATATTTTGAGCCTCTAAAACCCTACCCTCTTTACAAAGGGCATCAACCACAATATTATATGTGATGACATCAGGTTTGCAGTTGTTTGCCATCATTTCATTCAATAATCTTGTAACCTCCTTCCACTGACATGAGTTACACATAGCATGAATTAAGGAACTATAAGTGACAACATTAGGTGGAATGCCTTTACCTCTCATTTCTGAGAAAAGCTTCAAAGCCTCGGTAACATGCTTGTCCTTACAAAGGCTGCCGATGACAGTGCTGTATGTTGCAATGTCAGGAGCAAAACCTATTTCTTCCATAGTCCTTAGCAATAGAATAGCCCGAGTAGTGTCACCTATTTTACAAAGACCATTTAATATGATATTATAAGTGATGAAATCAGGCTGATACCCTTCTCGAACCATGTCATCAAACAACCTCACAGCTTGAGCTACTTTACCTCCAATGCAAAGTCCATTGATCAAAGTGGAGAGTGTTATAGTATTTGATTCAATGCCCAACTTCAACATCTTCCCCAAAACCGAAAACCCAAAATCCACACGATGCAAGCGGCAAAAAGAATTTACCAAAATGCTGAGAGTATAAACATCAGGATTAATTCCTAGTAATTCCATTTTTCTCAACAGAGTAACCGCAGTTTCATAATACTTCATTCTAACAATGGCCCCTAATAATTGATTAAATTCCACAATAGAAGGACGTGGATGCATATGTAGCATCTGATCAAACTTGTTTAAGGCACCATCAATTTGATCAAACACATACTTGGGTTTCTTCTTGCAATGGGTAGTGGAGAAATAAGAGATTTGGGAATAAAAGAGAGAAGTGGCAGATCTAGGGTTACCCAATCCCAATTGTCGAAGATGATCAAAAGCCGAAGAAAAAGAAGAGAGAGAAGAGCTTCTCCAACCCCTCATCATCGTCATCGTCATCAAAAAAACAAACCGAAAGCTCCAATTCTTCTTCCTTCAGCTGCTTCGTTGTCAGATGAGTCACCCACGCACCGCGCTCAAATGATAAATTGCTGTCAAAAGTCCAAACTTGATTGCGGATGCACGCCTAATTGATGCGCTACATTTAAACCATCTAGGGTCGGCAACCCAACCCGTCCCATGCAGGTTTTGATCCGACCCTTAAAATCATTTTTTTTAAAAAAAAATTGAATTTTAGATCGAATTAAATTTAGGTTTTAGGTAAATCTGATCCGATCTGATTTAATATTTATATAAAAATTAATTTGTAATTATTTATTTAAATTATTTATTTATATACATTTATATAATTATATATTTAAATATTTATATTTAAAAAATAATATTTTATATTTTAAAAAATAATATTTTATTAATTTTGGGTCGGATTAGATCGGGACATGTTATAAAATGTCGGGTCGGGTAGGTATCAGGTATGAAGAAAATAAAAAAATTTTTGGTCGGATCGAGTTTGGGGCAAACAAAAAGTCACCCCGATCTGATTCGTTGTCAACCCTAATCAGATCTAATTAATTTAGGGCTGCTTAAGATCTATCATTCAAAATCTTGTCTATCCCAACTCATATAGTTAGGTTAAATTTGAAAATTATATCTATTGAGATTGAAAATAATCAAAGAGGTCATATTAGGTAATGTAGTAGTAGAATTAAAATCAATATTAAAATATATGTTTAAATTTAAAACAATGCTTATAAGATAAGTTATAATAAAAAATAATTATTAAGGATTTTAAATTAAAAATATAATAATAAATTAATTTTTATATATTTTAATGTTATTTAACATTTAAAATTTTGAAAATTTATTGAATCAAAATATTGACATCTATTAAATTATATTAAAATAGTAATTAAGATCAAATATAATATTAGAATAAATAATTCAATGAAACTCTTGAAGCTAATTATATTTTTTTACATTTTTTCTCAAACATTTATGTTTACTTTTTCATATTTCGTGAAGTATAAAGTTAAAATTTTCAAAAGTATTTATTTTTCTCTTTTATAAGTGTTGATGATATGTTTATTAACTTTAACTTACAAACAACTACATTAAATTTGCTTTTTCAATAATCACTTTAATTTTTAAAATAGGTTTTATGTTTCATAATACTAATAGAAATGGTGATTGATAAATTTACTTACAAGTATTAAGTGGCGATATCATAAGCAATAATACTATGTCACAGTTTTATATGCACCAATTTTATACAAAGAATGATTCACAAGTAGATATTTTACTACTTTATTTTAATGCTTATTTATATTTTCTCTTTCAAAATATATAAAACTTATTGTTTCCAATACTGAGTGCTAACAAGAATAGATACATATGCAAGTACTTTGCATGAGATCTTTTACCAACATATATCTAGATTAACATTTAATTGCATTCTTTACTTTTAATATAATATAATATATATATATATATGATATCTTTTGAATATTTTATTCTTCTTCACATATTATTTTTCGTATTTTTAATAAAAAATTTAATTTTATAATGATTTGATCTTTTAATTATATTATATGTATTTTACATATATTTTGAATATATAAATAATTAAAAAACATTAATTTATGTGTTTACACACATTTAAATAATTAAAGACAATTAATGTAATGTACGAGTAATAAACTAGTTTATTATATTTCATTTTTTATATAACTTTTTATTTTTTTTCAACTCTAACTACAAAAATTCTTTTAAAAATTTATTTTTTTATTTTTCATCTTATTAGTATTATCTAAACATTTTTTACAAATATAATGACATGTATATTGCATTTTTTTTTCATGTTTATCCGATCCTAATATCATTATTTCATTATTATAGTTATTTTTTTAATCTCATTAAATTTTAATATTCAAAATTTCTTTATAAAAATTTTTCTTCATACAATTAATTCATTTTAAAACACTTTCATTTTAAATTTTTTAAAAAAAATTTAAAGACTTTTATACAAACTCACACTTAAGAACTTACATAGTTTGATATTGCATTTAATGTTACATCTTATTTGTCTTGGCTAGCTTAGCTTGTGGGTCATATGCCTTCTTTTTTAAAGGAGTTTTGCCTTTAAAAGATCAAAATCTTGCATTATTAGGCTTATATTAATTTACATAAATAGTTATTTATTATACTTGAAATATGCAAAACTTATGATGATATCATGTTAAGATATCAAGATAATTTTTATAAACTTGATTTAATGGGGTACATGAAAATTGGATTAATTAGCTTAACTAAATGGTTTATAGTTTAACCACTATTAGAATTTTAAGCATTATCGACAAAATTTTATATACAGAATTTTTTTATTGGTAATTAGCGATGGAATATCGACGAAATTTTGTTGACGGATTATCGAATATATTACTGACAAAATTAAATCCATCGATAATTAGTAGCTAAAAGTATGTTGTATATTGCGGCTAATTTTATTGATAGATTTTTTTATTTGTAAATTCATTGCTAAAAGCTACTGACGGATTTTCCAACGAAAAATTTCATTGGTAAAAAAATTTGAAAAAATTTTTTTTTTGACATTACCAATGGAAATTCCATCACTAAAACCATCGTTAAAAGTACTTTTAAAAAAATTTTAATATTATTGATAGAATTTTCGTAGGTAAAACTATCATTAAGAGTTACAAAATTTCAAATCCCTTATCTAGGCAACTCATTTTTTCCCCCAAGTTCTTTGTTAAATCCTTAATTCCCTTTCCCCTTCCCTCTCATGTTCCCTCTCTCCCTACCACTTTATCATCCAATCGCATCAATCAACATTAATGTGTCTCTTCCCTTCGGTAAGTTTTTTTTAATTATTTTATTTTATATTGTATTTTTTATAATATATTTGTTGAGTTTAAGGTTTAATTTTTTATTATAAATTTGTTGAAATTTGTTTGGGTTTTGGTTACTAATGCGTTGAGTTTTTGTTAATTATTTATTTGTTGAAATTTATTTAGCTTTTTGTTATCAATTTGTTGAGTTTTTGTTGGTTTTATATTTGTTAAAATTTGTTTAGGTTTTGGTTATATTTTTGTTGAAATTTGTTGGTTATATATTTTTGTTGGATTTTTTGTTGAGTATTAATGTTAAGTATTGTTAATGTTTTTTGAATTTATTTTTAGTATTGTTGGAGAATTTTTTTTATTTGTTGTGTTATTTTTTTTTTTATTTGTGAAAGTTTTGTTGAGATTTGTTAGGTTTTGTTTTAAATTTATTAACTTTTAGATGTTTAAGATTTATATTAGGTAATTTAGGTTTAATGTGTATTAAGATTTATATTTATTTTGATAGATGTCTTATATTTAATATTTTCTAGATTTTAATAATAATTATAGAAATTAAAATTATATATGTTAGTTTGAGGTTATAATTTATATATTACTAATAGTTATCTTATTTTGAAGTAATTTACATATTATTAAGATTTATATTTGTTTTGAAATAATTTTATATATTTAATAGTTTAGTGAAACTTATATATTACTAATTATTGAAATATTGTGATTTTATTGTTTCGATCAAACTTAATATAAATAAATTAAATTCTTCTGTTTTATTTTTTTTTCATAATCTATTCGTGAATATGTGTTATGAAATTGGGTTTAGATTGATATATATTTTGTAATAAATATAATTTTTTATTTATTTTTATCATACTAACGTCCTTTATTTTTCATTTCAACTACTTTAAAAGTATAACAAGTTTTGTACATAGAAGTGCTTCGATTAGAGAAATTCTCTACAAAACCGATAAAATTGCACTAAAAAGGTCAAGATCAAAGGTAAAATTCTATCATTAAAACCAATAATATTTTGTTGTGAATGTGTTGTTTTGTAGTATGTATGATAAATTTTTGCAAGACCTTTTATGCCATTGATGGACTATTTGTTAGAGTAGACCAATGATTACCTCATATTATCATTTAAATAATTTTGTTTAGTATAATAATAATAGCTCATATGGTCAATTAATAAAAAAGTTTAACATTCTCTATGACTTTAATTGCTTATATTTAAATTCAATTAGGGTTCAATAATGGACAAAAATCGCTCTTGGATGTACTCGTATAGGATTAAAATGATACATAATTTCGACCATGTTAATTTGGTTTGTAGTTAAAATAATAAAATTTATAAGTTTTAGGCCTGTTTGTTTGAACTTTGTTATTATTTTTCTCCTTGAAATGTGATCAAGGCTTTGACTTCTTATTGATATGCTGGTCGTACTCAATTATGGTTTGGAATATTTTTTCTTTATTTATTTAATTGGAAGATTTTATATTGAGATATTTGCACTAAAGGTATTTGATAATTCATTACAGAGAATTGTTATTATCTGACAGCTCTCTTGTTTCACAATCATATTTTAGAATTTGATATATTTTAAGGAAATATCAAATTGCTCAATTATTAGAGAATCATTTGTGTTTTAGATCATGTTACGAGTGTGAACCTGAGAGGGTAAAAAGCCCTCAACAAAAGTTTAAAATCTAAAAAAGCCTAATGAGATAAATGAGCTTCTATCACGTTATGTTACAGAAAGTTTCATATTTATCAATTGCTATTTTCTTATATATAGGGAAAATCATAAGTTCTAGCTCTTTCTTCAAGAATAAAAAGGGTATTCTACATGTCAAATAAAGGTACGAATTCACAAAATGAGGTACATGATACATCCTTTGATTTGTGCTTGTTTGAATACATGGAATAAGATACTATTTTTTATTGATGTCTGTCTCATGTCTTTACTATTATTTTTCATTTTTTTTGTTGTAGGGTTATAATATCTACTGTTAATCATGCAAATTCTAATACTTAAAACTTAGAATATAACTTTGTGCAAACTATATTTGATTAGGTCTTTCCCACAGTAAACCCAACTATTCTAGATCAGTTGTCAAATGTAAACTGTATTTTTTATGCTATGGGCTCTCTCTTCACTTTCCTTCTCTCTACCCATCACTAGTAACATTCTTGATTATTTGTTATAATACATTCTTTAATCTTTTAATATGTAACAAAGACAA